CTTTTCCTTCAAGGTCATTTCATTTGAGGTCCCAGTAACTGGAATTTTCAACGATCTGGGTTAGCCTTAGCCAATTCTCTTTAATAACCCATTCAGTACATTCAGCTAAGTAACACTCACCCACACCCCTATAGCTCTTCAGCTTCCTGTAAATGCAAACATAATTTTTCCCCATCATGCCCTGGGTAGCCATGCAAAGTATGAAGATATTGAGGCACACATAGGATTAATGAAAAAAAATCCCATTTTGTCATAGCAGGTCATTCTGCTGCTATCCTTCCACTGCGTGACATTTTGTCCATTGTTTAGATAGGATAGGATTCAGTATGAATCTTGACATCTTCTTAGCACATGTGAAATGTACCTCAGGTGGCACATGACCAGGATTCATCACTGAAGTTGGTGTGCTGGATAGATCATTAGCCTCCCTGGCCCAAGCCAGGAACTGACAGGGAGTGTGACATGAATACTTATCTATGCCCAGTAATATCATCTGAGATGCATCTTGTGATTGCCAACTATAATAAAGTGTCTGCAGTTCATATATGGGATTTAGATATGAACTCAGTCCTAGTGTATTGATAAGTCAAAAGAGATGAAATATCCAAACCTAGTATGCTAAAATATTCAGAACAATGGTCAACTCTGTTCATTTGTTACACCAAATAACTAAAATATACAATGAGATCTCACTAGGACTGGATACTAGGGAAAAAAAAAAAAAAAAAAAGAAGAAGAAGATCCGGTGCTAGGTAAATTTGGATATGTTGAATACAAAACTATATTTGTTATTTTAGTAGTAACGGTCTTTGTTACCATAAGAGTTGTATTAATATGGGCATGTCTAAACTACATCCCTCTTTCAAAAGAGGGATGTAAATTAGACAGATCAAAATTGCAAATGAAGGCAGGATTTGAATTTCCCATGCTTCATTTGCATAATGGCGGCTGCTCATTCTTTCAAAAATGGCCTTTTTGAAAGTGATTTTTGAGTTTGCAGGGTGCCACTGGCTTTGTTTTTAAGATTTTCTTGGCAGTCATGCTTAGAAACTTTTAAAATGAAAATTGAGATTCTCATTAATCTCTCGGTTCTAGTGGCTGGGGGTTTTAAAAAAATCACGTGACTTGGGGTAAAATTGTAAGCGTTGGTAATGCTGCGGTTCTGTTGGTTTCAGTGACATCAGAATCACGTCCCAGGTATTGAAAAAGTTGAGTGTTGGGTGAAGTTAGGGCTGGCAGGAGTATTTTAGTGATCCACAGGTGTGATGGGGAAAAGATTAGTGTTTAGGTAGCAATATGTTCAAGGTCTTTTTAAGGCCTTGATAAGAGAGGGGCAGAAGCGGGACAAGCAGCTGTTGTTGCTGTTAGGTCCCTTGGTAAAGGCAGCATGTGTGTGTGTGGGGGGGGGAGGAGTACTATCAGTGAGTGGAACATACTCACTGTGAGGATCGGAACAAATCCCCATACACACTGGGAG